AATTATTTAATTATTTATTAAATTATGAATAAAATATGAGTTTTGATTTTTTCCAATTATTTTTGATCCATACTGTAAGTACGTATTTATTATTTTCAAAATGTTGTATTTCATAAAGTAACTTTATTTTTTTACATTCCATATATTGTTTTATTCGTAAAAACCTCTAATTGTTTTTGATTAAAATTAGTAAAATGTACTGTAACGATAAAATTTTAGATGTGAAAAATCGTGACTTTTATCGTAATACGGTATATAGTCATGTGTCAATGTAATATAAGGAATTATCATCGCCTCTTGCATCCCAATGAGTTTTTACTTAAATGCAACAAAAGGTTACAATTAGAACAAGTTTTCAGAATCTTTTCAATAATCAAGTCTTGGTCGACTCAATCAAGAATTGGCGTTGGAATAACTCATCAATTGGTTAGAATTTTCTCCCCTTTTTTCTTTTTTAAACATTGAATGTCTATTTTTATACAAATTATCGACTATAACAAAAGGTTCATACAGGCTCCTAAGGCAGAAAAACTCTCTAGGACTCAATAGCTACCAAATATCAGTGCGACTTTTACCTTATAATCATCCATATAATACTTTCAAATCTCGTATAAAAATATCCATAAAAAGCACACATAACTTTCATATTCTCAAAAGTTGCTTGACTGGTGAAGAATATGAATCATTTCACAATGCTGTGCGGATATTGTTTTACTTTTGTTGGAGAAATAATTTCTTTCACCATAATAGAATGTTTAATATAAAAAATAATGGTTACCGCGAGTTTGATTGTTGTGATCCGCATATTTTTCCCAACGTCAATATCAAACTAGAGTTTAATACAGAGGAGCAGATTAAGTGGTTACCGTGTTTGAATTGGTAAGGTTTATTTACAATCTCATATAATATCTGATATAATATCTAATATTACATATTACTTCGTAATTTTATAGGTCGAAGAAACTTTACTCACTCGTTACACATCGGGAAGCTTTTTATTTTCTAAGTACTTTTTGCTCAGTTCTTGGTGGAGCATATTCGGCACTCGGAAGATATAAAAAAGAATATGTAATTATTTAAATCATTTTATTAATATTTCTTGGTATTTTTTTAATATTTTTGAGTATTTTTAATAGGCCGTAAAAGCTATGCAGTTTGCACGAAATCAAATCACATTGGCACAACAATTGAAAGATCCAGTGTTGGAATGTAAATGCTGGATATATTACGCGGTTGATTTAATTGAGCTTGGTAAAATTCAAAAAGCTGAAAAGATCATTGCACGACAAAAAAATTTTGCGATTAGGAAGTTACACGGAGATCAGACGGTATAGTTATTTCCCTTAGTTACATCTGTTTATTCACATTATTCATTTGTGTTTATAAGTTATTTATTGTAGATTATGAGAATGTGTGAAAACGCAAAAATGATGACTTCCAATATAAATATGGGAAAATAGGTTATCATTATTTTTACATTTTAAAATTAGCTTTTTTTCTTGTAGATATAGAGTCATAACTTATTTATTCAAAGCAAGAATTTTTGTTAATCTAAAATTGGAATAATATTTCGAGTTTGCAGTAAATTTGCATTATATAAAATGTTTGTATAGAATTGGTTAGTAATTTTTTTTAAATAAAACAAGTCTTATTTCTATTTTATTTTTATTTTTATAATTTAGAGTGAGTTAAAATAATTAAACTAATTATTTAAAAACTTTAACCTGCAATCAGGCTGATATCACATTGATTTACTACTAGATAAAACATAATGTATTGAATAAATCTAATTAATTCAACTTATTTGTCAATAGCACAAGATCTTTAAATATAATTTATGAAAGTGTGATATTGTTTTCTTATTAAATATAATTATGACTTTAAATCTTTCAATAAGATTAAAGCCTACAAATTACTTTTATTTTATTATTATTATTTTTTTTTTTAAGTTGGCTAAGGGCATTAGATGCAAGACTTTATTTACTAATTGATAGTACTGTCATTACATCAAA